AGTATCTTAATATACTGAGCCGGTGTCGTTTGAGTCTACTGCATAAAACTAAAACGATGATCATTATTGTCATGTTAATCATTAATGTACGTTTCCAGGTGTTTTTGGCAAATACATTATAATGATTCGCGCATTTGTTGGCTTCGGCGTGGCCTGTGCTATCATCTGCAGTTGGATCGCGATCTATTATGAGCTACGTAAAATAAGAAAGAGAGTCGGCACCGCCGCGGTCAATCACAGAATGTGGCACCATGGCGTGCAGAAGAAAGTGGCTAAGATGTTCTTCTGTGTTATGATAAGTTTATACGCTTGCTACACTCCTCTGTGGATCCGAGCAATCGCACATGGTTTTAAGGCTTTAAATTATCCAGAGTATGAAATCATTGCTGTCTCGCTGATCCTCGCTAATTCTGCCATAAATCCTATCATATACAGTTTTACCAATAGGGTATTTCGCTCTGAGCTTTTTGGCCGCAACTCGCCATAAAAATGAAGAAGTGACGGTGAAATTAGAGGACTTTCGAATGTCGGACTGTGCAATGAGTCTCAATGCAAAGTCCGACATCCCGTAATTCCTGAATGAGAATACGAGAATATCTACACAGGAAGACATTCCTGGAAAGATCCTTTCGAAGTGTTCTCATGGCAACTATAACACTGAAAAATCTCCCCTGTACAAACTTACACATCACTGACAAGTAGATCTTAAGCCTGGTTCCGACATCCGCGATGTATTATTCATTTGTTATTTTAAATGACGAAGAAAATTTATTCAAAGCTATTCAAAATAACAAAGCACACGTTATTCATCAATGATCACCGACAATACTCACAATAGCCATTGTACTGAAGATGTGCACTTTGCATAGATAGTATAAATCATTATACACGAATATGATAATATTATTATAAGAACTGAACTACATAATATTATAATTATTGAACTATGATTAGCAACTATATCATTGCACACGAAAATGTTTCACAACTTTTCTCTGTGTTCAAATATTCAAATACTGAACTCAGCTCTTAAAGCGTCTGAAAACAGACGGGTGGTTTATTTAATCCCAATTCTAAAGGAGTAATTAAAGCTCCCCAAACTCTCAGGGAGCCAAAGCAAAAACGTATTCTAGTTCGTGAAGTTATTCACCAGATTGTGTATTTGTTGTACATGGCGTATTGCCATGCCTCCTCCCCGTCTTCGTGGAAGATATTCTGAACTCCGTTTGGTATCTCTGGTTGTCGACAGAAGTACGCTTGCACGGCAACATACACAGAAGTAAGTGCTCCAAATATCGCGATCTCCAGTAAAACCATTGATGCAGTACGACAAAAACCTTGTTGTCCTGTTTCCCCTCAAGGCTCAAACTATATTGCAATTGAAACAAAAATTAGTTTTAAAATTATTGTTTTAAACTGCAGTCTTGTTAATAGCGCTTGACAGACTGGTGTTTCATGAATGCTACTTTGACACTACAGGCTGGCAGATATAGCTATGCCTATGGTACCTGTTGTGGTTATGTAAATTATCGTTGTTTGTGCACTTATAATGCATGATCTTAAAAGCAATATTTGCGAGCTTCTTTGAGTATGATTCAATGATGCGAGGTTCAGTTGTCGATAACCATGAACTGTTTACGAAACCGAGGGCAGTTCTGAATGGTGCCACAGACTGCCACTGTTTAGAAGAATGCAAACATATGTGGGGATATTACTACAAGCAAAACATCGCCTGTAAAAATGAGCAATTCTGACATGCTGTAAACCTTGGCCAAACTTTAAATTTAGATTACATTGGGTTTTCCCAAGGTTTTATAGATTCAGCTTATATTGTCTGCTTATATTGTCTGCAAGAGATGCTCACATTAGTACAGTTCACTGTGTACTAGCTACTAAGCAGAGTAGCAGACTCGTCTCTGAAATTCTCCTAATGCTAATTGTAGTTCACATCCGGTTTTACCGAGAAACGTGTAACACGAGGCTTACGGTTGACTGACTCGAGTGACTTCTAAAGTCCACACAAACAAATTCGAAGCTGGCTTTGTTTATTGAAATATCAGTTTTATAATAAAATTGCTTCACTTTGCTGCGAAAAATAAAAAGCTCGGGTTTTTATAATGGTAAAGCAACATACTGTGCGGTTGACTGTTGAAAATCAGTCTGGTTTTGCAATGAAATTTAAGGGTGATTGGTTTGATAGTGGTCGCTTAGCAGACACGTATAAATGGCCTCAGAATGTAGCAGATGGCAGACATATGGATATCTTAAGTTACGAAAGAGACAACTCCCTGGCTGGCTGCAGTGGCTACACCAGTTATGACATCAATGGTACAACCATTACGTTTGCTTTCAGCAATCCGACCTCAGGGAAGAATAAGCTGGGGGTTGGCGTTGGAGGCAAGGCGGTTTGGCAAGAAATGAGTCATCATGATTATGACGAATTTACTCTCCATGTTCCTGTGTGTTCCGTCACGTTACGGTTTGTTTGCAAGTGCACTGGCTCCACAACCAATCATGCTACAGTTAATATTTATCACACTTAAATTTAATGACGTGTGATTTCAGTCATCGACTCAAATGAATTTGGACATCTCCAGTTTGTTAATCAGTTGGTTGTAAGAAGACGATCATTATTGATGACTTAGTTTGTACTAAACTTGTTGTTAATTAAATGTATGTGTGGACATGACTATAATTCGTCAGAAACTTACTCGTATTTATTTTAGATGCACAAATTATATCAACTGTGACTGAGACAGGGATTGTTTCAAAACCCTAAAAGAATATCAAAACACTAAAATTTCTCGCTAAAAACACTTAAAAAACGTTTAGGCGTTTAAATCTTGTCATTTCCAAGCGTGTGCTTTATTAGTCGTTTTCTATGCATTTACTTGTTAGGGACCGCCTCCCGAGACCAGGAAAAGCTTAAATACGTTAAATTTATCTTCGCTCTCAAGGCTTGCCACTGTAGCTGATTCGTCTATGACGCTAGGCGTGTGGCATACAGCCCACTCTGTTTCTCACTGAGACGTAACGGTTAGGTGCACATACATCATGGTCTGGGGGCCGTAGTGCATCTCCCCCTTAGACGGCCGTTAAGATGTGAGTTATGGGGGGGAGTTCTTCCTATAGCAACTGTCCTTGCACCTTTCGTAGTTGTAATCTATGCTGGTATATCGCAGCTGGTTGTAATATCACCGGTTAGATTGTGGCATAGAGCTGGATGATCTCTTTTGCGTGTTTTTACGTTCTTTCCAACTTTTTTTTTTGCCGTGCTTTCCAAATTTTTCTTTTACAAACAAAACAAATACTGGTATTAAACATATATGAACCGGATATGGTTCGAAAAAAAAATTATAACGACTAAAAACCACCTTAATTACCCCTGAATACTCTCCACAGTCTCTGCATCGCTGAATCTCTGAAAGAAACAATAGCAGAGATCATTCATAAACATCAAACATTTATTATCAGCATTTTCATGAACCTTGAAGCAGTAAAACAGCAAAAAAGACATTCAGATAGTCAACTCTGCATTCTCGTTAGTGCCTTTTCGTTAGTGCCTTCTCGTTAGTGCCTTTTCGTTAGTGCCTGTACGCTGTTTTCCGGCGTTTTTGGTCAAGTCCGCCCGAAAACGTCTTTTTCGACCATGGTCGAGTCCGCCGGAAAATAGCGTATTCAAGTAATTCAACCATGGTCGAGTTCGTCGGAAAATGGCGTATTCGACCATGGTTGAGTTCGCCGGAAAATGGCGTATTCGACCATGGTCGAGTGATCTTCACAGTGTTAGTCCTCCTAATAATCCCATGTTTTTGCTTTGTTCTCCTTGGAATGAGAACAACGAAGCACTAGCAATTTCTAAACAATTATTGTTTTTCTTCGGAAACGATGAATATTTCATTAAATATTTTGTAAAACAAAAACAACCAACTAATTATTTCATTCGAAAGTTAATCGACCATGGTCGAGTTCGCCGGAAAATGACGTATTCGACCATGGTTGAGTCCGCCGGAAAACACTAAAATTTCTAAAAGAATATCAAATTTCTCGCTAAAATCACTTCAAAAACGTTCAGGCGTTTAAATCTTGACATTTCCAAGCATGTGCATTATTAGTCGTTTTCTATACATATACTTGTTAGAGACCGCCTCCCGAGACCAGGAAAAGCTTAAATACGTTAAATTTATCTTCGCTCTCAAGGCTTGCCACTGTAGCTGATTCGTCTATGACGCGCTAGGCGTGTGGCATACAGCCCACTCTGTTTCTCACTGAGACGTAACGGTTAGGTGCACATACATCATGGTCTGGGGGCCGTAGTGCATCTCCCCCTTAGGCGGCCGTTAAGATGTGAGTTATGGGGGGGAGTTCTTCCTATAGCAACTGTCCTTGCACCTTTCGTAGTTGTAATCTATGCTGGTATATCGCAGCTGGTTGTAATATCACCGGTTAGATTGTGGCATAGAGCTGGATGATCTCTTTTGCGTGTTTTTACGTTCTTTCCAACTTTTTTTTTTGGCGTGCTTTCCAAATTTTTCTTTTACAAACAAAACAAATACTGGTATTAAACATGTATGGACCGGATATGGTTCGAAAAAAAAATTATAACAACTAAAAACCACCTTAATTACCCCTGAATACTCTCCCCAGTCTCTGCATCGCTGAATCTCTGAAAGAAACAATAGCAGAGACCATTCATAAACATCAAACATTTATTATCAGCATTTTCATCAACCTTACAGCAGTAAAACAGCAACAAAGACATTCAGACAGTCAACTCTGCATTCTCGTTAGTGCCTTCAGCCCGAGAACTGTCGATCAACAGTCTGGATAAATCACCTGGCATTCCCTGCGAGTTTTCAAACAGTCAGCGGGGGGGGGGGTGAGTAGTCAGGGGGGGCGTTGAGTAGGAGAGGGCACGAGTAGCAGCACGCATTGACATATGCATGGTCTTCGACAATATACCATAGACAAAAGAGAGATAGATTGATTTTATATTCAGTTTATTTATTTGTAATCCCTATTTTTTCTTGGTTTTTAGTTCGTTTTGATTCGAGTTCTTGTTCTCGTTCTTTATCTAACTGTTCAATATTTGTTTTAGTTTCATTCTCTATATCTTCCAGAAGTTTCTTTTTCCATTGTTCCTCGATCACCGCTCGTAGTTCAAGATTCTGCCGGGTGTTGTAATCTGCTCTGGGCTCAAAACAGGCGTTCGAAAGATTTATGTCTTGCCTATAAAAAATGGAGAAAATATAACACATAGTGTTTCACTTTTCACTGTTTCTGCTATACAATAGCCTTTCAATGTTGGCATATGATGCACACTTAAAGATTTTCATTTTTCGTTACCTCAATGTCGGTTTTTTATGTCCCTCAGGATGACCTGGTGGTTGGATCTTTCTGCTTGTTGTCTCAGTTCGACGTTGCTGCGAGCGTGTCGGATGAACGTGTGGTGTATGTGTTTGAGCGGGAATAACTTGATATTGAGGGATCTGTGTTAAAGCTGATGCAAGTCGGGTGGTCCACAGTGATGAAGGTATGTCATCTTTGGTAAACTTTCTTGCAAGCTCCGTTTCAGCCTGTAGTCAACATATGCTGGTAAATTTTATATTCTTGATTTGTCATGTCCAAAAACACAACAGTGGCAACAGAACAGCCCAGTTTCATACGTGTCGGAAGGCAACATACATTACCTTTGCTATTTTCATTGCCTCAAGAACACGCAGTTCGCTCTCAGTAGTTTGACGTTGCATTAGTGAAGACCAAGCAGCGTTGGTCACGCCATCCTTAGTGGCGTCATTTCTATAGTAACGACATATCTGTACCAGGCTCTTCACGGCCCCGTAACGGACTTTCCAGCTCTCCTTGTTGTCATCTAAAATGATAAAAATATATTTATTTTCCTCTTAAGCCATGAGTTTGGGTCAAAATGTGTGTGGTTTGTGTTCATTGGGAAACCGGGAAACCTTCCCAAAGTCACTTACCATATTGTAGAAATCCAATCAAGCCGCAGTTTGGTTTCACTTCACGTCTATTTCTCTCCTCTGTGCCTACAATCGAGATTTTCTGTACTTCTGCGCATTTTCCGTTCAAACAAACTGTTGTCAGACATTCACAAAATGTGTAAACCAGTTCCCAAGGCCAGCCATGACGTCTTTTTGGTCGGGTAGCCATTGTGAAAGAGGAAACAGGAATATCTTTGCCAGCACTTCCCCGATGCCTGCTGTAAAGTGCCGAGTCGTGAGTTTTATATGACTCAATGTTTTCTGTCGTAAACTGTTCCTGAGTTAAATCTAAACCAACAAATTCTTGCAAGGTTTCCACCAAACTCGATCTTGTGTTTTGTTCTTCATCTGACACGCGTTCATTCCTTAGAAGACTATCCCGAAATGCAGTTGAATTACGTGCCTTTTTATCTCTACAATGGAGAAAAGCTTTGATTGATAAAGTTAAAAGGGTTGAGAGCTGTCTCGTCCATTTCATTCCACAGCCAAACGAGAGCAATATCAGAAGCTGCAAATTTTTACACTTCCGTTTATAGCATGCAAACAGTCGAGTGATTACTTACGGACTGGTGGGTAAACTGGAGTAACAGGTTTCACATAAATGAGGGGCTTTTTCAAACGGTATTATCACCGGTGAGAATTCCTGTGACATGAGGCATTGGAAGGCTTTCAGAACACGCACGTTTTTACAACTGGCGTCCGCGAGAAAATAAAATGCCAAGACTACTTCCAACCTAGATTTTAATAAAGTGGATTTAGGTATATATTAGGATCATCTTGTGATGAATGCTTGTCTAAACGACATTGCTGAGTAAAACTAACCATTCTTCCTGAAGTAATCGCGTGGCACTCTCAAGTAAGTCGCACAAAACCTCACTAAGTGAACTGACATCATGATTGACAACGTGCCAAACATTAAGAGTGCACTGAAGAAAAATAGAGATGCCTTTATCATAGTCAGTTTCATCATCTTTCAGATCTTCCGCTACAGAAACTGGTTCTTCTGCAGAAACACCGTGATTAGAAACTTTATCAAACTTTGTTTTAGTCATGCTCTCTCTGTTCATTTGACTACTATCATTCATTTTCATCGTCGCGTCTTGTGGGTCTCCTTTCCGAGCCGGATCAATCCTTGATTCGTCTTGAGATAAACCCTCTTTCTTAGAATTTTTGATCATACTGCATATGATACGACCCTGGGGAAAATTGTTTAATTGTTTTACTTTTAAATCGTGTTGAAGGACAAATTATGTCACATAAATACAAAGCTTCCAAATTAATTAACTTACGGCCTCGTCAATTATGCGAACTGAAAGATATGCTCCTGGAAACTGGTCAAACGCTAAAGCTTTTTCCGAGAAACCTGAGAATCAGAGAATTGTATACAAGCTTAGTGCATTCTTAAATAACGTGATTTTTTCACAAATATTTTGTAATCGATCTACCTCTTAAATATTGTGCCAGAGACGTTTGTTGATCTTCGTATCCCTGTAAATAGAAAACACATTAAAAACTACAGAAATTTTGGTGTTTCTTAAATTGACAATCAAGAGTTTCACCTGTAACTGATCCAGGAGATAGTGACAGTAGAGTCGGATGAATACCAATCTAGTCATCTGGAATTTGAAATATGTATCAGTAGGAAAATTGAATTTGATTGCACGCTCTCTCTTGAGCTTAGGAAGGTTTGCAGTTGATCAAGTTGAGAGCGAAATAACATAATAAAGTGGAGGTGAATATAACTTAAGAATAGTCACGGGTGTATTTTATGATTGACTACCTTGAGAAGTAAAATTTCGTTGCTTCGTAATACGGATGAATTTCCTGTATTCTTCTTTAGCCAATGCACGCCACTTTTAGCGAGGTAAAATAAACTGTTCAATAAAATGCAGAAAAGACAGAGAGATCAGAAGTTAAAATTTATTATTGCTATGTTATTATACGTGCATTCCATGATTCCACCGCCGTACAGTTAACATGAGCACTTGCGTTATCTGGATGGCAATGGATTTGAAAACTTACATGCCTGAATCAAATTAACGCAACCTTATTCACCTCAAAATCTGTTCCTCGTTCATTACGGCCTGATCAAGCGAAGCTATAAGACTTTCTATACACGCTAAAGGAAAGAGTTAGAAGTCAGAGATTGCTGTTTTACGTCGTGATGCTTTTACAACACAGAAATGCAGACCTTCCTCTAGTTTGGAGCTGCGACATTGCGAAAGCAATGCCAAATCAACCCAGGCTCTTGGAAGATCAACGTGATCAGCTTCGCCAGCTTGTCTAAGGCCAGCCAATCTCTAGAGAATGAGAATTGTTCACTTTCAGATGTGAAGGATTTGGCTCAGTACGTCATATTTCCATAGGACAACGTTTCATCGCACCGGCCGTAAACCAGCGATATTTACTATAAACTACCTGCAATCGTTTTAGCATTTTCATAGCTGTATCCTCGAGCTTTTCTCTCTCCTCTTGATTACTGTCATTAAACTAAATCCAAAACAGCAGCATAGAGGAATTATTACTGCTCATGCTATACAATACGTCACTGCATAGTCCAGATGGATATACAGTTTTGGCTGATTTGAACTCATCATGCAAGTATGGACAAACTCGCGCATATATGGAACGAGATCTGACACCACATTGTATGATACGCATGTTTTTTAACTCCTACCTTGTAGACAAACTCTTCCGTCACCTCGAATGGAAGAGGTCTGGTAAAAAATAAAGAAAGAAGTTTCTAATCGTGACAAAGCTAAAGATAAAAGCAGTAAGGAGCTCTGTGAGTATCCCATCTTCTCGAATATTATAGTGGCTTGCATCTCAATGCTCAATAAACGAAAATACAAGCATAACATCTTAAAGGTATAAAATGATAGTACTTCTGTTCCGGACGTTGCTGAGCTTCGAACTTTCGTCGTGTTTCGATGTAGGCTTTCTTTGCAATCCGCTTCTCTAAATCCACTCTTTGCGTTTGAGAAATGATTCCAAACTTGTGGACAACTGGTACACGATTTATCGGCATTATTGGATGGTTTTAAATGTAATTTTCCATAAAAATATTCGAATTATCGCAAAATGTTGACAAATAAGGCCGCCATATTGTTTTTAGAGTTGTTGCATAGCAACGAAGCTCAGGTGATTAAACCTGCATACAGGCGGATACAAGCACAAATTCAGAACTCCCGTCACCCGTTTCCCATCCTATTATTACACCATATTCACTTTCTTTTTTCTATTTCTGTTTGCCGGTCCTTAAGGGACACTTTGATTTCTAGCAGTTAAACATAAAAACCACGATTCAAGATGCGGAATGCTGATAAATACTTTGAATATATTAACAAACATCTATAATATACAACTTGTTTGTTAACAGTCCATTGAACTATATATCTATTTTAGTTCAATGCTACAGTCTCACAACTTTTGGCAAATGTTATCGCTTGAACTATGAAGATGTTTAATACTTTTATATTTACACTGTCGTTGACAACACAGAAACTGCCTGAAATACAGGGTAGCCATGTTACAACCTTAAATAACTTAAATAAACCACTTTTTTTGCGTTTATTTTCTACTGTCGTCAGGCACAGCAGCGTGACGCAGTCAGCTTAAAACAGACGTCGCTTAATGCTCCTTGTCACTGTCTTTTACCCTAGATATATCCCCTGTTGTATCGTTGTGTATGCCTTGCGGTTTTTGAGGTGATCCTGCAGGCGAAGATATTCGAGGCTGTTCTTCTCCAAGCGGTGTTGTTCTTTTCATACTCTAAAATGATACGAAAGAAATCGTTGAACAATCAAGTGAGATCCTTTCATCGCTCTACTGTGAATCAAAGTATTCCAGATCCATAATCCAGATCCATAATCCCGATCCCAATCCACACTTAAATTACCCAACCAACTTTAATCCAATTCAGAGGACGCGATATTTAATGGCGTATTTCTGCATCATTTTGTACACCTTTAGAGAGACAAAATCCAACTTTACAATAATATTCTACCTTTGGACTCGTTGACTCGTTTGATTCAGTGCCTTCTTCTTTTGTCAACTGACCATCCCAGCAACGCTCTCGTCTCGAATCCTGTAAACATGCATTTTGGTTTAACTCTTAATCCAGATAATCTAATTCTGTTTTCCCTACTTGCGTTCTCGAGAAACCTACGTCACTCATGCCCTAACATAGCGACTCAATAAACACTTTTTTCCATTCAAAACAAAGCGGATTTACTTCGCTTTTTCCGTACCTTTTCTTGTCCACGTTTTCGACGAAATATCTTCAACGACTCTCTGTTAAGCGCAGTATTTGAGGGCAAGTTGATGTCGTCCGAGCTGTAACGTTGACCCTGGATATGAGTGGACTTTGGATCCGATATTTCAGGATAGGATGACGACAGATTGTCCTGAACGGGGGGTGACGGCGTACGTTCAAAATAATGTGTTCCTGTCTATGAAATTCAGTCAAATAAAGAAATAGAATATGTTTGTATGAAGAGTACGACAAGCTGGGAATCGTTGTTCGGTGATGTAAATATATACAATGAATTGTGTACAGTATATCTTTGGGTTTCTAGTCAGCCTTTTACCCATTGAGGGAAGGAATTATCCGGAAGTTTGATCTAATTCAAGTGCAAGATCATTCAAGTATTTTTTCGACGATTTACTAAAGTCAATGTTCAGCAGTACAGCATGTACCTTCTCTCTGTCAGTTGTTTGAGATGGCTCGTCTTGTAACGGGCCGCTGGCTACATATGAGCCCGTGTCCGGGCTCACGTCAGCGTTACTAGGATACTTAGCACGTCTCGGGATTGCAGGCAGCAGCTGTTTTGAACGTCCTTTGTAATAATGACCATCAGAACCACGCAAAAAGTCAAGTACGGAGACTTCACGCACAAGTTTTGGAACATAGCGTGAATCTTCTCGAACTGCGGTAAGATGATAAATTAATTTAGTGAGTCTAGAAAACACTATGGTGTTATGTGGTATGCTAGGCGATAGTCGGGCATGAGACAGTATACAGTGGCATGGGTATAGTACTGTAAGAACTGTATGGTATATATAACTCATGTACCTGACATAGCTTGATTATACTGATGAACTTTCGTGGACTTTCTGAGGTGGGAGTTGATGAGAGTATGACTACCACCACAAGGTCTTCCTGATACAAGATCTCGTATAGCTGCGGTGCTTTCCTCTGCATTTTGACCATTCTTCATTGACTTTTGACGTAACTAAAATATCATATATATTGTATTCTTGTTTGGCAAATTATACATGTAATTATCACGAGATGCTAATCGGCTTGCACGTTGACATTCTTCATACCTGTTCTACGTCGTACGAGGTAAAAGGAATTTTCATTCTTCTAAGAGGCAAACTCTCGCTCTCAGGTAAAGTTGGTTCCGAATCACGAACCGCCAACTCCACCGGCCTGTTGCATGAGATGCAATGATAATGAATCGGAAGTTTACGGCGGACTCCGGCAGCATTTGCGGTTGCGTCCACGCGTGTTTCGCGCACAATCTTATCACGTGAATCCTGAACATCTTTGATTTGTTTCTCTGAAAAGAAAAATGAGATTTTCGTATTCTTTCCAAGCTTCGGCACATACTGATGCTTTTAGAAGACCTACCAAAGTAATTTTTCATCATTTGTAGAGAATCATTGTCGATCTTTCCTTCCATCTCCCGCGAAATCCTCGAAAGAGTGTCTTTGAGCGCCATTTCTTCGTTCATATAATCTTCCATCTTTTGCAACGCTTCCTGTAAACCTGGTGAAGAAAATCTATGGTCAATCATCTCGTAAATCATTCAACACTTGCGGTTTATCACATCGTCACTCGATAATCTTGCTTCTCAGCTCTCAACGTACCTCTATCGAACATTTGGAAAGTTTCATCAAAAGTGCTTTGGTTGACTTTGCCTTCCAAAGCGTGCTTGTCAGCTTTGATGTCCATCTCGTTGGCCACGTTTTCACGATCTGCTTTCCTCTCTTGTAGTCGCTCAACATATTGGAATAAACCATCAATTGTTCGCTGTAAAAACGATTGACAACTGCATCATAAAACTCATAATTTTGATATCAATTAACTCAGTACACGCTCAAACAACGTACTTGTTTTTCATCTAAATTCTCGAGAATCTTATCAATATCTTCTTTACTCTTCAAAACCATTTTCTCTTGGTCTTGTTCAACGCTGTTCAACTTCTCCCGGACAGAATTCAATACCTCCCGATCATAGCTGGGAACGTTATCTTCCTGTGGCTTAACTTCACGGAGCTGGTCAAGTCTTTTGAGATGCTGCGAGAGCATTGACAGTTCACCTCTTATGTTGTCGATGTTTTCTTTATTTTTTATTGAAGTTTCTTTGATAGTTGCCAACATCTTCAGATCTTGGTTTGTGTTTAACATATCAAGACCTGAAATAGAAGCGAATTCATGCTTTTGTGATCCTTTTGAAAAGTTGATTTCTAATCGTTTGACTACTACGTTTCTGCATGGGCTTTCATGCGACGTCGAGATAAAACCAACCTTGTTTTAGCATGCTAATTTGCTCGACCAGATTTTCGGGTAACTGTAGGTCTTCCTTGTCGACTTTTCTTGGCAGAATATCTACTTCAACTTTATGCACATCACTAGCAAGCTTTGTTTGTAATTCAGACATCATGGATACCTATAATGAAATATTAAGTCCATTGTTGGATTTACTGAGTAAGTTAAAAGCGTCTCTGGGCAGCAAAAATAGCCGGCCACTTAAAATAAGTCGCCGTAAACTTCTTAGACTATACAAGGGACAAAATGTTCTTTTACAAAACACATTTCAAAAGATGAAGCTGACCTGGACGGCTACATCATCGTACTGTTTCGGCAGTTCACCAATCCTGTTTAACTGGTTCAGCAATTCCGGTGAAGGTTTATCAGTTGTGATAGCGTCCTTGGTTTCTTCCTGCGAGATCATATTCTCATCAAGATTTAAGGATATTTCACTAAGACTGTTTTCTTTCGACGACAACGGTGCCTCTTTTGCAACGAACGGCTTTGATTCATCGGGGTTTTCACCTGTATGCTAAGACAAGAAATTATTTACCTGTCAGATATTTTTGGAAGATTCTTGTTTGCCTGATTCACCGTCTTTACCTTGGTATCCTCCTTTGGACTCATTGCAGTCGTCGGGGGTTCATGATCCACAGGAACATCGCGTGAACTCGGTGTTACGGGTTCAGTGTCTGGTCTCTCCAGCATCACATGTTCTTCTCCACCATCATCTGCTGTTACAACCCCTTTTGCTTCAACTTCTCTTTTGTTCAAAGCTTGTTCCAGAGCTGTCCATGTGACAAACGGTGCAAGATCACTCTTGAATGCAACCTCGTCCGAATGATCCAACTTTTGAAAAGATTGAGAGATGAAATTACACAAGTGATATCTCGTGTATCTATGTTGAAAATTGGACGGATTTATGGTGACCTTGCAAACCATCATTTTAGTGCTCCTTGGGTGGCATTAATTAAGATCTAATTAAGGCTTGATTATATGTTATCGTGATGATAATGGACTGGAAAGTATTCCTAAGAATACAGTTCACCAACCTTCCTTTTTGAATTTGATGTCAACTCTCCACCACTTTTTAAAGTGTCGAACGCTCCTGACATTTTCATTTGTTCCTTGCGTAACTCCTCAAGATTGGACTTAACATTCTTTAGTTGCCCAACATCCTCAATCACATCATTCAGAATGTTCATGACTTTCTCAACTGCTTCTTCAGTCGCTTGAACTCTTTTCTGTATTTTCATGTATTTCCACATCATAGCTAATGCATTTTCTTTTTTATCCTGAGCTGTAGTATGGCTATCATCTGAGTTTGCACTTTGCGCAAGAAAGGATTTGTCTACTGACAGATTTTCTAAGGTACTAAGCTTTGCTTCAATGGAGGCCAGTCTTGCTTCAAACTCATTCAATGATTCACTGCTGTGTGGATTAAAAGGGGGTTATATATAACATCTTGTGCATGATATTAACAGCTATAACTAAATTATTAAAGTGTCATGCGTAGAGGAATGTAAAAACAGTACAGACAACAGAATACAACAAAAACATGTTGCACTGTGATTGCATGTGACTGTCTGGTTATTGCAGACACAATAGCTTACAGATGGTTCAATTTCACCTGGCATAAACAACGATTATTAAACCATGCATGCTTAATAAAACATATCATTAAAAATTTATTACAGAATGCACTATCTTTTGTGTTGCAAATCCTTCAGCACGCCGAAATATCCAAACTTAAGCCACAAGTCAATAAAGATGGCACTTAAAATTGCAAAAGACATCGCTTAATAAACCTAATTATTCGTAAATAAGCCGTTTGAGGAAAGAAGTTTTAAACTAATGCAAATGGCAGTACTTAGTTGTAAATATTTAATGTCGTTAAGACACTAAGGGGTTTTATTTAAAGCTTTTTCCAGCCACCCCCAACACTGCGAAATATCTCAACTTTTACCAAAACAAAATGATAAGAAATACTCTGACAATTAGAGTGTAGATAGTAATACGCAATTAGGATTCAATTAACTTTATCGTTGTTTATATTCATCTACATTTAGGCGCGCATTTTTACATCGCAGCGCTACAAATACCTTAAACCTGTAACCATGCACTAACGATATTTCTTTAATAAATCATACAACTGTACCATTACCTCGAAAGATTTTCTTTGCTTCCTGTCATCCCAATACTCCCGTTTGAGGTCTCTTCACCGTTCTTCGCGGGGTCTATATTTGCGTCCGATTGATACGGTTTCCTTTCCGATAAAAAATCGATTTCGTCTTTTCCAGAACCTGCAGCGTCGTTATTCGATGTCTTTTTGTCCAGATGATTAAGTATTTCGTGAAGAAGTGAGTGGAGAATGTTTAAATTGACAATTCCTTTCTCGGGATGTCCCAAGGCAGAATCGATCATTCTTCGCATCTCTAAATGTTGTACTCCCATTTTCGGCCACCTGTATATTTCGCGTTTTTGCGAGAAAAAACTTTCTCAGACGTACGTTTCTATCCGCGGATAAACGAATGCGCTTAGCCCGCCGTTGTTTGATAAATGACTCTGAAATTATTTGTTTTTAGCTTCGTTTCAACTCCATGGATTCACGTTTGTTTACACTTTGATCACGAAGGTAAAGTCAACTTTAAATTGCGGGCGTGCAGGCTCACCCAAAATTCAGGCAGCATTTCTATGAAGTTTATTTTAAAACCACTAAAAGTACGAATATTTTAGTTTTCTCCGAGCTTTTCCCTTAACAAAATAAGTTTTGCTTTTGCAGAAGAGCTATTAATGGTCTTTGGATTATATAGATTGAATCTCAGTACCAAAAATGATGCAACGTAATACCCTACAGTCTGCACAGAGTTTTGTGCACGGTGGATGGGAAATCTGAAAACATTATTCAGCATGATAAAATGAATCTTTTTCATACCAAACACTTTTATTTAGTTGCAGAAAATATCGATGTTTTTGTAATATAAAGTAACTTGACTTCTCAGAAGCAAAGCTCTCCCCCCCCCGGACGGCAGGTGTTCTGCGGCGCTGGCTCAAAGACCGCATGCTCGGTTGTGAGATAATTTCAAAATGGAGTTTCTACTCGGAGTTCAAGGAAAAGATTTTGTGATGATTGCAAGCGATTGTAATCAAGGACGAAGTATTGTTCGTATGAAAGATGGTAAGTATAACTCAGACATCATCACCTGTTGTCCTTTTCTCGTGTCAAATGGGTGTGCACGCGTATGCAAATCATATTCTTTCACAAATTGTTCTGCCTCATGACATAACACTATTACTCAGCTATATTTTGTAAATTAATATATATGGTTGTTAACGTTGTTAAAATAGCATGTTAGTATTGCATGCGTTATTGTGCCCACATCTTTTTAAGGTTTGTTCACACCATTCAATTTCGTTGGTCAGTTGGGTCCAATTCACTTCTGACGTATGGAATGTAGTCTGGTATTAATAGAGCAGTACGGCATTGGCTTGCAGTTGATTTGCTGCCCGTATATATTACACATTAACAGACTATAAAACATCCATCAAAAGTTTATTGGATCCAACAAAATTGGATTGTGTGAACTGATCTTTACAGCATGTTTGAATTGTCAACCCTTTTAGATTATGATAAGATGTTTAAACTAAGTGATCAGTTGGTGATGTTGGTAACTGGAGAATCAGGTGATACAGTACAGTTTGCAGAGCACATGAAGAAGAAAATTCAACTGTATAAGATGAGGAATGGTAAGCCTTGGTTGGATTAATTTGGTTGTCCCATGACCAGTTTTTAATTTGTGGTAGTCACAGTTCTAACCCATCTAGTTTACAAAGCAACAAGTGTTATTTCTCTCTGATTTAGGATATGAATTATCACCACATGCAGCAGCTAATTTCACAGAAAAGAGCTTGCAGATTACCTCCGTAGCATGGTACAATATATTGCGTTTAGTTACGTGATTTTCATCATAAGAAGATAATCACTAAAGTCATTCTTATCTTAGACTCCGTATCAAGTAAACTTACTGTTGGCTGGTTATGACAAGCATTCAGGACCTGAATTATATTTCATGGATTATTTGGCATCGCAACAAAAAGTAGGTGAAAGCCAGGAAATTACATGAACTTTAGGGGATTTACTGGTGATGGGCTGCAAAGCACCGCTGACTAGTCTTCATGCTAATTTGTTATTTTCAATCAGGTACCATTTGCTGCTCATGGTTATGGGGCATTTTTCATCATGGGAATTTTAGACAGATATTATAAGAAAGGTATCTATGTACATGCAAACTGAGTATTTCTTCGTTTAAATGAAGTATTTACACTACCAAACAGTTATTTAAAAATTTCATCTATTATAGTTGTTTACTTATTTGATACTTAATTAATCTTTTTATTGAAGATATGTCGATTGAAGAAGCTCAAAATGTCATTAAAAAGTGCATTGCAGAGGTATGAGAGATTGTTTGTTTGTCTGTTTATGCCAAACACATGTTAAGTAATTGAAAACCTTGTTTTTTACACCATTTAGATCCAAAAAAGATTCCTTATAACATGCCAAGTTTTATAATTCGCTACGTTGACGGAGATGGCATTCATGATCTTGAAAAACCATCAACTGTTGATCCATTGTAATAGAAATATTGATGCAAACGTTCTTCACCACTCTGACGGATTTATGATAACTGTAGCTGAGAATATGTACACACTATGCTGTTTCCTTTCTATTTCTGATTCGAATTTGTGTTCTTACAAAACAAAATGGATAAAAACAATAATGTATGTCTTTAATGTTGGACTGTGATGAAGGATAAGAGTTCAAATAGTTTAAAACGATTGAAAACGACACTGTGTGCACATATTGCTGAGTAGAGCTACTTCAGTTGCATGGTTACTGGTTAGCATATTTGTATGACAAATAAAATCAAAAGTATTAGCGTGTGATGTATTTTTTTTAATTTGGCACTTATAACACCCATTTTCTTCTTATACTTCGCCCACATGTTATAAAAAATTGCAGTCAGGATGTATTCAAAAGAATTTCTGCATTTCATTAATTAAATCATCTGGTATAATGATTTAAAGAGGGGACCATAAGCCGTACTTTACACTACGGCTAATGCTGGGCTAGATCAATCCTAGAGCCTGAACACACACAGACATTGACAACTGGATTTTAGGGAGCCTCCTTTCAAGGAAATACAATCATGATTATTTGATTAAGACTACGCTGAATTGGGTTGAAATCTAGTACGAAAATATAGTTCAAAGCAAGGCTAGACCTAGACTTCTGCGTAAACCAGTGGGGTATTAAACACGGTTAACAAATGGCAGTCGGCCATAACGTCGTGATCTTTCTGCTCGCATCTAAAACCAAAACCTGACTATTTTACGCAGTCAATGATACTAATGGATTTTACGCAATAATGAGGTATAATTATCCACTCTTTTAAACTGATGCTATCTGTGGACAGTGGGTGGAAAGTTTATTACAAGGCCATCTATATTTAGGTAAATCATTTACGTAGATTTTTATCGCACAATTCGACTGAGGTATTTTGATATCTCACTAGTGATTTAAGCTTGCTGAAGATGTAACAATATTTTTTCTGATCTGGGCTAATATGACAACGAACAGCTCAATCGGGTATCACGTTTGGAGAGAATTTTTGCTGCGAAATAGTTTATGCTTTTCCTTCTTAGCCGGATTTTCACTTGTTTCCATCCGCCAATATGACATGGCGCTATACATTATAATAATAAACCTCTGGGTAAAGGACTGGGGTCGGGGTTAGCTTCAGTTTTAGGGCTAATTTGAGAGCATATAATTTCAATGCCTTGATCAAGAGAAAATGACGTCATATCATTTTGGAGGTTGGAATTGAACCAACTGAGTCAAATGCCGCCCACGGTAATTACATATTGCTCAGACATTTCGTGTACGGCAGGCGAGGACTTGTTTATATGATCGAGGCTTTTTCATTTCCTCAGAACACCTTACTTGCAGTAGATTTTATTAAAGATTCCTTGCAGAAAAACCCTGGATGAAGGTATAAGATTGATAAGCATGGATGCAATTGGGCAGACGTATAAAAACAACTCTTTCGAATCCTGGAAATGAAATAAATAAACAAGCTTGTCTATTTTCAAAACCTGACTAACCTGCGTTGTGTATAATACCGGGATATACCACATACATGAGAGATAGAATTTAGGAATCTGTTTATACAAAGAGACTTTGCGTTATCCATCATTTCCAACCTACATAATCGCTGTGCACAGCGTGATTTCTCAATTTTATTATTCCGATGTAAGCGTTCTTTTGTCCAGGTGTTCTTTCAAGCATATCACGAGAGTATTTCAAGGTTTCTATTATGACCGAGAATTTCATTTATTCACAGCCGGCATTGTCTTACTCAACAGGATATCTATCTTACGATATTTAATCAATCTAAAGATTATCGATACGAATTTCATATTGCGTTGTGGGTAGCTTATTTTGTTTTTATTTTCGTTTTTAACCAAGGTACGTTGTATCGAAATATTATAATCGTACTTCTTGGAGTGACAACACAGAAGATCACCGGTATTGTTTGTTCTTGTATCTGTATACTTGACAGTTTGTATTTTCAGCGTAAACTTGCCTTGCTTGTCGATTTCGGCGACTAAACTCGACTGAGCCTCAGGACACTGGAATACTGGTAAGTAAGTGTTAGGCATGCGGCAGCCGACCTCTTATAGTTGACAAAACAGTTGTGGTCATTAACCTCTTAATGTACAAATTGATTCCTCATTAAACGACACAATGAGTTTTACCAATGGCCGCATTGTATATTATGATCGGTTAAAAACTTCACTGTAAGTACATCATACAGTATTCGACAAGTACTCGCGTCTCTAATATTCATTTAGCAATATTGGAGAAGAAATACCACCTTTTCTGGATGATACTCGACTTTTATAGGCTTAACCAATTATTTTTCAACTGTTTTGCCATCAGCAAAGATTTGTTGATACTGAAAATTCTCGACATCAACTAATAGGGTTAGGTAAATATTTACTAGATTTGGTAAACATGATTGCTTGCCAAATACTGATTCTATGTCTGAGGACTTCTCAGGATAAAAAGCAATCGAAAGAATTTGAAATCATCTTAATATATGAGTGAAGGGAACTGATTTGAATGAAGAATGATCATATAAGACATATTAAATATATCCAATGCTGTCGACAGTGAGTGTTTAATCTATACGTACATGCTTTCCGCACTTCAAATCTTGTTTTTTGTCTTCTCAGGAAACTTCATAGCCTTTTGCAAAGTAATGTGTAATGATTTTTATTCAAACTTAGCCTGCGAGTGCTTCGGTATATTTTCGAGCCGACCAGAAGTAAAGAAATATATGTTGTCGTTTCCTTATCACGCGCTGTCATCATGCACTGAGAAACCTCTTTCACTGAAGTATAAGGAGAAATTAAGACTAACAATTATTGACAATGATTGTATTACTCAGGTCAATCGATTACTCCAACTGAGCGGCCACTAGGTTTAGACGGTTCGGTGTTATTTCGGAACTTTCATTCGTCGAGCATCAGACTTGTCCATGGTAAACCAAAGGTCGCAGGTTCGATCCTACCGTGGTGAGGCTAATTTTTAGCTTGCCTGGTTGGTATGTAACCCAATTACCAGTTTCTTGAAGACGAAGTGTGATGAAAGGTCTGGGATAGTGGAATTTCTTTCGCTCATTCATCCAGTAATACGGCAATCAAACTGATAATCGCCATCCCACAACATTTTTTAACAAAATTTTGAACATTCACTTTGCAATCTCCTCAATTAAACCTAATTTCTTCATATTTTCTACAGGTCGGGGCAATGATTGTGCCCAACCTTTACTGGTTATTCCTAGTGTGGTCATCCTCAAATATAATTGGTAAGCAAGACTGCTAATTTTTTATATTCTTTTCTCTGCTTGTAATATATAATTGTAATGTTCGCACGGGAAAGTGCAGCTACAAAGAAACACAAATAATAGGGAAAAGCAGTGAGAATCGTCACAAAGGTAAAGTGTAATTTAATGTGACATAGCAAGTCATATTCTGTCAGAAGGTCATTGAACTTTGCTTGATCCTGAATTAACAATATTTACATTCCCTGTGTTAACATTAACTGCTGTTTTAAGGTAGAATTAATGCGACATACAAATACTTAAGATGCTCAAAAATTGAGTTTTTTCATATCTCTACGTGGCTAGCCTGATATATGTAAAGTCGACGTTTTGAAATTTTGCAACAGCAACAATTTGGCCATGTTTTACAGCTAATTGAACACAATGCGGAGGATTTGAATGATTTTACCGTTTTCTAAAGGCACGTCAAAGCTGCCGGTCACTCTCCCACGCACTCAAAATGCCGAGCAATTTATTATTTCCTAAATTTTGTTTCTTCGTTTGAATCAGTTCGCTAAATAAACCTAACCGAAAATCCCTCAAGGCCATTGTTGCCACATCGTTTAAAAACTGAACTCTTGCAGAAACGAAAAGCAAAACTCTTATCGACCAAACTTAAAAACAGCTGACGCCAGCAAGGATATAAAATATATGTTCTGCTTGTCTATTCATCCCACCTAATGTGATATTTCAATGCTTGAGCATGCTGCTGTGAAATTGCCACCGAGAGACTAATCCATCTAGATCTTATTCGTCTAGTTTGTTATGCCTGGAGTAACCAACCGTCACGTTCTATACTAAGGCGGGTGTGAGGCATATATCTTTGAGACCTTGAGGGACATATTAGATCGCACTCGAAGGAGGGCTTCCACGCATTTCAACCACCCATTTCATTGTTGAATTCTCTTAATAATTTTTGGTATTTACGCGACGATTATGTAACACATTTGACAGCCCCGCTTCAATGAATGAACTTTGATTGAAATTGAGAGTATTTTTACTGGGGGAGCTATGATAGAAATTGATAACTTCAAATGATAAGAAGTGACTTGATTGGCAAAGACCTACGAGTTCACCCGCGCACACAGGTGTGAAAACTGAGGGTTAAACTAAAATGTCACCCGCCATCCCCAGTCAACCTCTGCCTCCTCCGCAGACCCTCGTTCAGTTGCCTCATGGGAAGAACGAGGGCCTGCGGAGGAGGCAGAATCAACCTCTCTTTATAATTCTTTTTTCGCTCTTGTCAACAGTTACAACGTCAGCAACGTGTTCTTCCGCCTGTCTCAACGGAGGTTCTTGTGTTACTGATGATGGGAGTGGAGAGAGCAGGTGTAACTGTCCAGCCAGTTACATCGGAGTTGACTGTTCTCAAGCTATAGAGTGCAACGATGATAATCAGTGCTTTGGGAATAAGACTTGTCAAGAGTATAATGGCCAGAGATATTGTGATTGTGGTGACGATGCAACTGGTTTTTACTGCAATATGAGTGTCAGCAAAGGTGAGATATATTTCAATACATAATTGGTTACGGGGGGTGGCACACTAGCTGAATGGTGCGGAGAAAATTAATAAATAATAAATAAAGTTTATCACTCGACAAGTATATTCCTTTATTCCTTGTTTTTTAATACAGTTTTCCATTTTCTCTAGATCTCACAGTCTCAACGAATGGATTACTACATTACTGGGGATTTAACAGAATTCTATTCGGAAATCGCTTTATCGACAAAGTTAGCCGTATTCATTTTACCAGATATGGTACGTCTCGGGCATGTGTGCATTATATTTAGGTATACTTCGTATCACTAGCTTTATCAAGATAACATCCACTTCAATCCAACTTTATCTGTGACTTCTTTAGGAGATGCGCGTATTTACAAATCTGTTGACCTTGGTAATGTTGCAAAATTAGATCGTGATGGCTCAGGAGCACTGATTTCAGGTAATCCTTGCAAGTGCTTACTGTTCCGTTTTCGTAGGGTTGCAACCACAGGCAATCCTTTGCATTTTTCCATATGTAAATAATCTTGACAGTAAACGTTCTGTTTCATAGCGACAATTAAAGATCCTTGCTTGGTAAACCCAGTACATTGCACAGAGGGATTAACCGTATCATTTTGGCTGCAGTATTTATCAGGAGAGATCGTATTGCGCATGGGCAATGCGGGTTTTCACGTCTTTGTTAAAGCAGGGAAATTCTTCATCACTTACCAAGGTGTGGACAAGAGCTGGACTATTGAACGTAGCTGCATCCCTATGGGTGTCTTTCTCGTGACAGCCACGTGGAAAGAGGCAGACGGATTGGAGTATTACGAAAACGGGAAACTTGTCGTCTCAACCAATATTTCTGATGCGAGTCAAACTCCTGGATATTTTGATGATGTCATCACAGTCGGCTATGAGAAAACTTCCAGCGGTGAAAGCTTTTCAAGTTTGCTCATCGATGACCTGATGATATGGAAACGAGCACTTAATTCTTCAGAAGTCGAACAACTGCATAAGAATGGTAGGCTCGCTGTTAAACTACAAGATTTTCCTCTTCTTTTTATAAAATGATAGAAAATGATGTTAGAACAAAGGATAAATGATAAATGCTGTACCTTTTAATATCGAGGAGTTGAACAAATGGTTGTTGCTTTCATTTGTCGGTGGTTAAACATCTGTTTCATCTTTTTTATTCTTTCTTTCATAAGGAACCTCATCTAGTGTTGGTCGTGCATCATGTCTGTCATCATCATGTGCCTCAGGATCCTGGTGTGCTCAAGACTACTCCGCTAATACACGCACGTGTGTGCAGCCCACAAGCCAAGATTGTTCTTTTGAGAATAGTGTGTGTAATGGTTTTGGAGATGTCAGTGCTGCGATAACTAGTACTGGTAATCAGAATGTATTTATGGGGAATATGCCCTATTATGATCATACTTCTGGAAAATGTGAAGGTAATTAATTATTATTACTACGAGACAAATGACATAGCCCGACGTTATTTCCTCTTAAGAATTTCATTTTAACTTTGCTCGATCCCAATCACGACATTGAAGCCTACCACGATCAGCAAGTCCGAGTATAATAATCTCTATAAATTTCAATTTCCTTTTGATGATTTCAGATCCCACTGCGAAATTTTTGACATTCAGACAACTGCCTGGAGGCAGCCTCTCCTCTTCTATTTCTCAGTTTTCTGGAGGACAATTGTTCCGTTTACGATTCTGGTTTTTCATCTACGGACAGGACGAAGGAGTTTTGTCCGCTTCTATTAAACATGCTTCTGAAACTTTATCAATCTGGAACACAACTTCACGTGGTGTAAGGAACTGGCAATATAAACAATTTGAAATGAAAGTGAATTCATCTTTCTCGGTAGGTTGGTTTGATTTTCATAGTTATTTCATGACATGTTACCTTCATGCATGACTTCAGCCCCTCCCTTGGACAGCAATAGAGAATATATCGCATGCACAGTATGGTAGCGTGTATTCTTCTACAACAAGTCGTGCAGTGATTTCATCGAGTTAACTTCTTCTAGGCAAATTTAGTGGCGTTTTTCGCTGGACCAAATCTGGCGATCGCTTTGGATGATCTTAGTCTTCAAGTTTGTGGTAGGAATTTTTAACTTTTTTGCCCAATATGACAATAGAAGTATAAACCAAAATGGAATAAATCTAAGCATGGCTCTAAGAACAACCATTTAGCAGCAGTTTGACCAAACTATCTAGAGTTAATCAAAAAAAGTCAGACGAACAGACCCTCCGTTTACTGCTTTCAAACCAAGAAAAATTACCCATACATTCACAATTTATCCACATAGATCCTTATGTTCAGCCGAACGTCTCTAATGTAACTGCCGAGGATAATGGTGGCGTGAAGATCACGTGGTCACATGGTGGTTGTTCTCACATCTTTCCTTTTACAACCATGGTATATTACCAAACAGAATCAACAGACAGGACCGTGAACGGTTCAACAAACTGGACTCTACTAACCAACACAGAGAGCAGCTCTCATGTAACTTATTCAATTCTACTTTACCCTAATACGGTCCTCAGAATCAAACTAAATACACGCTACGTTGTGAATGGTGAGGTTATAATCAGTGATGATAGCGCGGTGTTCGATTTTCCCATTCCAGGTAAACGGTTTAAGCAGACAAATATCTTTCAAAAGTCGTGTTTTTAGGTAGGCAGTACTCTGTAAAATGCTGCCACGATTTATTTCTACATCTCTAGTTTAGTGTGGTAGTGTTTACTGCATGATCACACACAATATTGTACTTTTCATCCCACTCAAATGTATCAAACCATTTAACCATGTCTTCTAACAACTGAATTACACTGCCATATAGACGAAAGGCACGTGAACGTATCATAGTTAGCAAGCGTGTTTCTATGTTAATTTCAGATTCTTTCATATCTTCCGTCATCCAAGTTGAACCCTCAGGGTTGCCAAATTCGAATCGTGGTTTGTTGGTGAAGCGAGGGGAAAATGTCAAACTTACATGTCTAGTTACTTCCGTAGAAAAACCAACAATGACAATTACAACACCCTATTCATCACCTACTCCTGAGGATGCTTCCTCGGAAGGCGCAAATCTTTGGCATGTTCCCATGATTCTTCCTCCATTCAGCAAGAACGCGGCTGGTAAATACATCTGCGAGACAAAAATTCGAAATGTTGTTCTAAAGCGGGAAGTGACACTCAATGTACAAGGTAACCAGTGAGTTTTCTACAACCGTGTTATACACTTGTTTTAATAAATTAATTGTGGTAAACTCCATCATGCCCTATTTTCAATTTTTTACATCTCAAAGCCCACTTAATTTTCCCTTTAATTTGTTTTTCTAATCTTCGTTCTGTTATGTTAGGTTATTTTGAAGCCGTACTTGTCCATATTACGTTAAGTGATAATATCGTCAACTTTGATTCATCCGCCGGGTTTTACTTGCTTGGTCATGGCGAAGAGTATGACGAGTTTATATTTGAAAGAAAAGATTGGTTGACTGGGCAGTACGTACGCAGCTCAGCACGGACTGGGACCGGGCTGGCAAGTTCTCCAACAGTTCAGTACATCGCTTTGTCTGGAATTTATGATAGATGCAGATGTGCTCAAACTGGGGAACATCGTTTTAGGGTCACGGTTAATGGCACCACCACTGAGCACCCATTTTCGAAACCACTGCGATTGCGAGGTGAGCGAGGACGGAGTTTAAACATGTAAACACAACCTCAGTGTTGAAGGCCACTACCGTCAGACAGATATATGAAATGTTTGGACTTTCACTCCATAAACGGACATAGGGTATTCTCGACAGGATGTGTTTTTGGGATAAAACTGAATTTCATTTGGGATGTTTTATCAGCCTTTTTTGCTATTTCACTCTGTTGCTGCTTTAGGGCAAATAAATACGAGGATATTCTATAATTTCAGACCCAGATCCTCCCACGTCTGTTACAGTAACATACAACGGTACCAGCCGAGCTCTGGTGGAGTGGTACTCCCCCGGATGTAATGGGGGACCAGTAAGAGCAGTTCGTGTTTCATTCTACCCTAATGCTTCAAATACTCCGACCCTCTTTGAAACAAATAACCCGTCCTGGAACGCAAGCACTGGTAAAGGTTCTTTCATTGTCCCTCAAAATGGGTTTGCTCTGAATGCTGAGTATAAGTGGACAGTCGCTGTTCTCTATGATGATGGAGATGGGACGATTTGGAGTCAGGAAAGTGCCGCTGTCTCGACAAAGATCTCAGGTGAGTAGAAAACTGAGTGCCGAGAGTTGATATATTTGGTAATTGACGGAAAATATTATCATTCATTTTATCATGCAAATCTCTTCACATCTGCAATTCTCTAATAAAACAGCATAGGTTGTGCCATAATTCATTATCATCAGTGTGCATTTCGAACAAGCTAAATCACAATGGAGAGAACTGCAGGAGAAATTAATATATTTCCATTTTATCAACAGACGAATTTGCTGTCAAAATATCAATACAAGATGGCAATTCTTACGTGCTGCCTGGAAATGATGGTGCATACCATATTCAACTCGAACAAAGTATAATACTTACTTGCACAGTAATCTCCAATACCCCACCTCAGAGAACATGGAATAAGCGTACATATCGAGGAAATGAATCAGTTATAAGCGAGGAATTTCATCCAGAATTTTCATCATCTGGCTTTGGATGGACAAGTGTGATAAATATTTCCAAGTTTGACTACGCGGACTCAGGCACTTACAGTTGCTTTGGTTCTGCGGGAAATAATCAAGGAGCTGACCACGCAACATTATATGTGCATGGTGAGTCTTATTTCTTTCATTCCTCTATCTTCTTTCCTTCTTCAATTCCGATTCCTGTTCATTTCCTGATGTGAATCGTTCTTCCCTTCGTGTGTTTGGCACAGCTTTTTTAATGGCAGCCCTTCAATTCTCTTTTCATTTTCTTTATATTTAGTGATATTACTATTCTGCCTCTTTTCTTCCACAGGTCCTTTCAAGCATTTATATTTATATTTACACGAGCATTCTCTACAATTTTAGCAAGCGTCAAGGTTGTACAACAATCTTTGATGCCTCTTGGAGCGGCTTACAATTCCACATACATAGCAGCAATGATTCTTCAAGGTTTTCCGATCTATAACGCCGAAATTCAAATACTTAATGTGAGGACAGGAAACTACATCAACTTCAGAGGAAGAAAATCCGAGTTTACTGCAGATGGTTACTTAAAACTGTCTGCCCAGTATCCCTCTTTCATGTGTTCAAATACTGGACCTCATCTCGTTGTTGTGGAACAAGCAGATTACTCACGGTCAAGGTTTTCATTCTCCTCACCATTTATTATTACAGGTACTGTATAACCTCCTGGTTCATAGAATTTTCAAAAAACTGTAATCCAAGGTCAGCTAGACTCTGTGGTCTTTTTTTGGATCACCTTTATAGACGTTGCAACCCAATTTATGTTATGTTTTGTGTATTTGATATAACTTGCATGTGGTGTTGATACATTGTATCGTATAGCATCGTATATGATCCTAACTACTTTTAGATCCTGACCCTCCAAAAATTATTTCTGTGACGAGCGAGTCACAGTCAAAGATAAAACTGACGTGGAGCGCTGGTCTATGCAATATGTTCCCTCCTCAACAAATCTACATCACTGTGACGGATGTAATAAGTGGAACTACTCTCTATCAAAACACTTCGAGTGCCAACAATAGTTATAACACCGAATCTGGTGTCGGTATTACGATGGTTGAAAAAGGACCTGAGTTCAGCACAACATTCAAAACACAGTGGATCATACGGGTGTCATATCCCGTATGGAGTCAAGATTCGCTTTCTTATAATGCTGTTTTATCTGGTATGTAAAGATTCTTTATTGCAATTGAGAAGACACTTGCATGGTATTCAAATCTATGCACCAACAAATGATTAGTCAATGAACGTAGTCGATTAATTGTTGAGTTGAAAATCCACTTCATTACCTTCCTGAATTTTCAGTGTAATTAATTTGGATATTTTCAGATAACATAACCATCAGTTTTAAGTCAAATACTTCGTCAAGTACAGCAACTGAGAGACGTCCAGTTGGTTATCTTTTGAAAAGGAATGAGACAGTGACCATCACCTGTCAAATCTTGGCTACGGAAACGTCATCCACCTTCTTATGGTACAAGAAAACGATAGGAGAACCATCGCATTTGAACAACAGTAACAAACGGTCTTGGATTGAAGGAGAATATCTGTATGGTTCCATAACTTTATATAACTTCGACTATCACGATTGTGGCGTGTACACTTGTCAAATAAACTCTGGTGGGATGTTTCAAGAAGGAAAAATCCCTCTGACTGTGGAAGGTATTGAGCGCCAGTATATTTATACACATCAAGTAGGCGTTTTCAAGCATAGATGCATAGTTTTATTGTAGAAGTTTATTAAATCTTATTATGAAGGTTTTCTACTTTATTATGACCACTGACATGCGTTTCCTTCAGAAAACCTTTCATTGAATATTCTAATTAAATAGTTTAGCCAAGTCATTTCCAATTGAGCACTGATATTCGAAAAGCTTTATAGATTCTAATTTTCTCCTAAATTTCAGCGCCTATTGTTGTGCAACATGTAGAGAATAATTTGAGGTCAAAAGTACGACGTGGAAGACTAAAAACAATCAAGGTTCTATTTCTTGGCTATCCCAGACCACAAATTTACGCTGAAAGATTGGATCACCCAGACAGTTCATGGATGAACTATACGGATTATCTAGGAGTGATGAGTGAAGATGTTTATTGGAGGGTTAAGGTTGAACGTAACCTGACATGTGCGGATACTGGTCTTCTCCGTCTTGTTGTTTTGGATGAGAATGTGAAACATTTTGTAAACTTGGTGGACCGTACACCATTGATAGGTATGCACTGAAGAAAATTTCAATAGTATCTTAGTTGGTTTATTTGCTATTACATTGACATGTCAAGGCATCCAGTGTTTAGCATCTGACTAACCACAAGCCGGACAGGTTCTAGTGCAATCATTTCATTCCACCACACGATTTTCATAACTTCATCAACAGCAATTCCATTTACACTTAGATCCTGATCCACCGTCTATCGTATCAGTCGAGTATCTTTCTTCAACTCGTGCAAAAATTACGTGGAAAGCAAAACGATGCAACTTCGCTGGCGTTAAGAAAATAAGAATCGAGCAAGCGGGAAGTGGCGTGGTCCTCTCATTCAATTCAACTAATTGGGATAACGAAACTGGAGTTGGTTATCAGATTGTAGAGAATATTACAGTTATAGCGAATGAAACCTATTATTGGAATGTCAGTGTTATATATGGTGAAGGTTCTGATGAAGCCACAAGTCAACCAAGTCCACTGTTTGAAGCCGTTGTTGTTGGTAAGTTTTCCAGCACGTAGTCTCTGCTGTAGAGAGTTAAAATACTTGTAATCGCAATCCTATCTACTTCTATATCTCTAGATACTATTAATGAATGCCTGCAAAATAGTTCTTGCGATGTCAATGCAGAATGCATAGATAAAATCGGTTCCTATGATTGTCGATGTAAACCAGGATTTTCCGGTGATGGCCGGCTTTCGTGTTCAAGTAAGCTGGATTTTTTCCATTGCAAGCCGTTGAATTTGCAACTGTAATTTAGTTCAAATAGACAGCTTTGTAGCTTATTGTTCTGTTTATTTGTGGTAATTTGTAGATATTAATGAATGTTTAAACAACCCATGTCATACCAATGCTAACTGTTCTGACAACGAAGGTTCTTTTGAATGCATTTGTAATCCGGGATTTTCTGGCAATGGAGTAAATTGTACAAGTAAGTCAAAATTGTTTTAAACACCATGTAAATTAAGATGCTGTCTTCTGGCTAATAATTTGTGATTATAATTACTAGACACTGATGAATGTTTAACGAAACCTTGTCATGCAAATGCCACTTGTACTGACAAAGAAAGTTCTTATGAGTGCCGATGTAATGATGGATTTTCAGGAAATGGGTTTAACTGTTCCAGTAAGAACAATCTTTACTAACAATGTTTCCAACATCAAATATCCTATTCTTACAGTTAAAATTGTATTTTTAAGACATCAATGAATGTTTGACTAACCCATGCGATGCAAATGCCAATTGTACTGACAACGAGGGTTCTTATAAGTGTCAATGCAATGGTGGATTTTCAGGAAATGGATTCAACTGTTCCAGTAAGAACAATCTTTACTAACATATTTCCAACATTGTATATCCTATTCTTACTCTTAAAACTATATTTTTAAGACATCAATGAATGTTTGACTAACCCATGCGATGCAAATGCCAATTGTACTGACAACGAGGGCTCTTATGAGTGTCGATGCAATGATGGATTTTCAGGAAATGGATTTAACTGTTCCGGTAAGAACAATCTTCACCTGATATGTTTTATGCCTATTCTCACAGATGTCTTAACGCTATAATTTTTAAGACATTGACGAATGCCTTTAAGAGGCTGATTACATGGAGTGTTTTTACATGGAGCCCGGGGTTGTTATAAAATCTTAACGAAATCGCGCACGCGATTACATGACAAGAATTTCAGCCCGGCTTGAGTTACCCAGGCTGAAACTTCAGCCTGGGCTGAAACATAGTGTTGTTGTCATGTAATCGTAAATAAACTTAAACCCGGACAAAAGAATTCGCCTTGACAATGCTTTTTCGTTTGTTTATTGCACTTTTATGCATGTGCTGTCATAGTGTCTTAAAGGTCAAGTTATTGTCATTCGGGATTTTGAAGCGCTCGAAGAATTGAAATAGTTCTACTACCAGCCTTTACAAACTGAGCCCGGGCTGAAATTTCAGCCTGGTTTTAAAATAATTCTGACGTGTCATAAACACAGCCCGGGCTGAAACTTGTCATGTAATTGAAAAATACTTTGGCCCCAGTTTGCCGGGCTGAAACTCAGCCCCGGCTGAAAAGACACCATGTAATCCTGTAGTTAGACTTCACAATGCGTTCGTATGACGTTACTGATATAGTAGGCAATAGTAGACAATATTTCTTGCAATTGGAAAGGTCGCTGTCAACCAAATTAGTGCGGCAGCAAAAAGATCTTTCAGAAAGTAAAAAGAACGATTACAAAACCATGCAAGAGAAAAATAAAACGAGGAAGCTTTATTCGACCAAATCACTTCCCGATGAGGTGTGAAAAAACAGGGATTAAAAACGGTTAAAAAACGTGTTGGGAAAATTTAAAGACCCGCACCAAAAAACGAAACAGGCGATGGAGAAGAGAGAGAAAGTTAAATGGTGGTGGTTCTTCATCATCGAAACAAGACGATGAAGCTGCCGTTTTTGCTTTTACAATTCCGGCGCAAATAAACAGCTTAACTATGAAGTGTTTGATGCGACCACATTTCCGCAATATTTGAATCATTATATTTGAGTCACAAAGTACAACTTAGAATAACTGAGTGGAGCTCGAGGGACGTATTCCTCTCACTCACACTTCACTCAAAATCTGAGCCTTATTTGAGTGTGAGTGGTGTCTTTGAATAGCTGGAGTGTGAGTGTAGCATTTACTATGTGAGTGCGAGTGGACACTCATTGAGTGGTGAGTTGCACTAATTGAGATTGAGCATCCACTCAATGAGAGAGAGTGTGAGTGAGGTCTTAGAATACCGGCGTTACTCTTCAAAACTGTATTTTTAAGACATCGATGAATGTTTAAACAACCCATGCGATGCAAATGCCAGTTGTACAGACAACGAGGGTTCTTATAAGTGTCAATGCAATGATGGATTTTATGGAAATGGATTAAACTGTTCCAGTAAGCGCAATCTTCTTTACTGACAATGTTCCAACATCAAATATCCTATTCTTACTCTTAAAACTGTGTTTTTAAGACATCAATGAATGTTTGACTGACCCATGCGATGCAAATGCCACTTGTACTGACAACGAGGGTTCTTATCAGTGTGAATGCAATGGTGGATTTTCAGGAAATGGATTCAACTGTTTCAGTAAGAACAATCTTTACAACAATGTTTCCAACATCAAATATCCTATTCTTACTCTTAAAACTGTGTTTTTAAGACATCAATGAATGTTTGACTGACCCATGCGATGCAAATGCCACTTGTACTGACAACGAGGGTTCTTATCAGTGTCAATGCGATGGTGGATTTTCAGGAAATGGAGTCAACTGTTCCAGTAAGAACAAGCGTTATTAACATGTCTCCAACATCAAATATCCTGTTCTTACTCTTAAAACTATATTTTTAAGACATGAATGAATGTTTGACTAACCCATGCGATGCAAATGCAACTTGTACTGACAACGAGGGTTCTTATCAGTGTCAATGCAATGGTGGATTTTCAGGAAATGGATTCAACTGTTCCAGTAAGAAGAATCTTTACTAACATCAAATAATTCGTTTCCAACATCAAATATCCTATTCTTACTCTTAAAACTTTGTTTTAAAGACATTGATGAATGTATGACTAACCCATGCGATGCAAATGCCACTTGTACTGACAACGAGGGTTCTTATCAGTGTCAATGCAATGGTGGATTTTCAGGAAATGGAGTCAACTGTTCCAGTAAGAACAATCTTTACTAACAATCTTTCCAACATCAAATATCCTGTTCTTACTCTTAAAACTGTATTTTTAAGACATGAATGAATGTTTGACTAACCCATGCGATGCAAATGCAACTTGTACTGACAACGAGGGTTCTTATCAGTGTCAATGCATTGGTGGATTTACAGGAAATGGATTCAACTGTTCCAGTAAGAACAATCTTTACTAACAATCTTTCCAACATCAAATATCCTGTTCTTACTGTTAAAACTGTTTTTTAAGACATCAATGAATGTTTGACTAACCCATGCGATGCAAATGCCACTTGTACTGACAACGAGGGTTCTTATCAGTGTCAATGCAATGGTGGATTTTCAGGAAATGGAGTCAACTGTTCCAGTAAGAACAATCTTTACTAACAATGTCTCCAACATCAAATATCCTGTTCTTACTTTAAAACTGTTTTTTTAAGACATGATGAATGTTTGACTAACCCATGCGATGCAAATGCACTTGTACTGACAACGAGGGTTCTTATCAGTGTCAATGCAATGGTGGATTTTCAGGAAATGGATTCAACTGTTCCAGTAAGAACAATCTTTACTAACATATAATCGTTTCCAACATCAAATATCCTATTCTTACTCTTAAAACTTTGTTTTAAAGACATGATGAATGTTGACTAACCCATGCGATGCAAATGCACTTGTACTGACAACGAGGGTTCTTATCAGTGTCAATGCAATGGTGGATTTCAGGAAATGGATTCAACTGTTCCAGTAAGAACAATCTTTATTAACATTTCTCCAACATCAAATATCCTATTCTTACTCTTAAAACTGTGTTTTAAAGACATTGATGAATGTTTGACTAACCCATGCTATGCAAATGCCACTTGTACTGACAACGAGGGTTCTTATCAGTGTCAATGCAATGCTGGTTTTACAGGAAATGGATTCAACTGTTCCAGTAAGAAGAATCTTTACATAACAATCGTTTCCAACATCAAATATCCTTCTTACTGTTAAAACTGTTTTTAAAGACATTGATGAATTGACTAACCCATCGATGCAAATGCCACTTGTACTGACAACGAGGGTTCTTATCAGTGTCAATGCAATGGTGGATTTTCAGGAAATGGATTCAACTGTTCCAGTAAGAACAAGCTTTACTAACATCAAATAATCCGTTTCCAACATCAAATATCATATTCTTACTTTTAAAAATTTGTTTTAAAGACATTGATGAATGTATGACTAACCCATGCGATGCAAATGCCACTTGTACTGACAACGAGGGTTCTTATCAGTGTCAATGCAATGGTGGATTTTCAGGAAATGGATTCAACTGTTCCAGTAAGAACAAGCTTATTACATGTCTTCCAACATCAAATATCCTTTCTTACTCTTAAAACTGTATTTTTAAGACATGAATGAATGTTTGACTAACCCATGCGATGCAAATGCAACTTGTACTGACAACGAGGGTTCTTATCAGTGTCAATGCAATGGTGGATTTTCAGGAAATGGATTCAACTGTTCCAGTAAGAAGAATCTTACTAACATTCTCCAACATCAAATATCCTGTTCTTACTCTTAAAACTTTGTTTTAAGACATGATGAATGTTTGACTAACCCATGCGATGCAAATGCCACTTGTACTGACAACGAGGGTTCTTATCAGTGTCAATGCAATGGTGGATTTTCAGGAAATGGATTCAACTGTTCCAGTAAGAAGAATCTTTACTAACATCTTTCCAACATCAAATATCCTGTCTTACTGTTAAAACTGTTTTTTAAGACATCAATGAATGTTTGACTAACCCATGCGATGCAAATGCCACTTGTACTGACAACGAGGGTTCTTATCAGTGTCAATGCAATGGTGGATTTTCAGGAAATGGATTCAACTGTTCCAGTAAGAAGAATCTTTACTAACATCAATCGTTTCCAACATCAAATATCCTGTTCTTACTGTTAAAATGTTTTTTAAGACATTGATGAATGTTTGACTAACCCATGCGATGCAAATGCCACTTGTACTGACAACGAGGGTTCTTATCAGTGTCAATGCAATGGTGGATTTTCAGGAAATGGATTCAACTGTTCCAGTAAGAACAATCTTTATAACAATGTCTTTCCAACATCAAATATCCTGTTCTTACTTAAAACTGTTTTTTAAGACATGAATGAATGTTTGACTAACCCATGCGATGCAAATGCCACTTGTACTGACAACGAGGGTTCTTATCAGTGTCAATGCAATGGTGGATTTTCAGGAAATGGATTCAACTGTTCCAGTAAGAAGAATCTTTACTAACATCAAATAATTCGTTTCCAACATCAAATATCCTATTCTTACTCTTAAAACTTTGTTTTAAAGACATTGAATGAATGTTGACTAACCCATGCGATGCAAATGCCACTTGTACTGACAACGAGGGTTCTTATCAGTGTCAATGCAATGGTGGATTTTCAGGAAATGGATTCAACTGTTCCAGTAAGAAGAATCTTTACTAACATCAAATAATTCGTTTCCAACATCAAATATCCTATTCTTACTCTTAAAACTTTGTTTTAAAGACATTGATGAGTGTATGACTAACCCGTGCGATGCAAATGCCACTTGTACTGACAACGAGGGTTCTTATCAGTGTCAATGCAATGGTGGATTTTCAGGAAGTGGATTCAATTGTTCCAGTAAGAACAAGCGTTATTAACATATCTCCAACATCAAATATCCTGTTCTTACTCTTAAAACTGTATTTTTAAGACATGAATGAATGTTTGACTAACCCATGCGATGCAAATGCCACTTGTACTGACAACGAGGGTTCTTATCAGTGTCAATGCAATGGTGGATTTCAGGAAATGGATTCAACTGTTCCAGTAAGAACAATCTTTAACTAAAATGTTTCCAACATCAAATATCGTTTCTTACTCTTAAAACTATGTT